TAATTTTTGTTTTTCATTTAATTGATTTATATTATGTTGTATTTTATTATTTTGTTATTACTGATTAATTTTTTCTTAAGTAACAAAAACTGGATATAAAAAACTTAAAAATAAAAGAGAAAAAAAGTTATTTTTTTATTTTTTTCTAAATATAGAAAATAGAGAAAAAGAAGATAATCTATACTTTTTTTTTACTTTTTTTCAAGATAACTCTTTTTTTCCAAAGACACAATTTTTCTGTTAATTATCGAAACAATAAAACAATTATGAATCTAAATGATTACATATATATGTATAGTAGTTGGAAAACTCTTTTTTCCTTCCTTCCTTTTTTCTCTGCAGAATAATTTTTATTTTCTCTCTCTCTCTCTCTCTCTCTTTTGTATATTTCTCGTCTCTCCTTTTTTTCTCACCCATTTTTTTTCCACCTCAAGAGGAGCAATCTCCGCTTCGAACAAACACTCGGAACTCTTCCTAGAGAGTCCTTGCTCAACGAATATCAATCCGGCCTTCACTTTCGAGAGTCGATCCCATCTAGCCCCCCCCCTCACTCCTCCCGAAAAACCAGACCTCATAGTACAAAGTAGGATTAAGTTCACGAAAATATGAATCCTCTTTCTCCAAAAAAAAAAAAAAAAAAAAAAAACTGTTTACTTCATAAATCCCTCGTGGATAAAAAATGATAAATTTCACAAAGAATTATTCTTTCGCAAAAATATTGAATGTTCATTTATATTTGTTTATATAATCATGAAAATATTTTCTCGTTAAAAAAAAATCTGTTTATTAAGAGAGATAGTGAAAGTGAATAATTTATAAAGTGCACTTTGAATGTGTGCTTAATATTGGATTTTTAATTTTTGTCGATTAATTTTTACCAATGAATATTTTTTATGGATTGTACATTTTTTTAGGAGAAAAAATACATTTTTTATTCTTTTATTTATTTATTTATTTATTTAGTCATTCATTTAATTAGTTATTTACTTACTTAGCTATTTATTTACTTAATTATTTAGTTACTTAATTATTTAGTTACTTAGTTATTTATTTACTTTGCTATTTATTTACTTAATTATTTAGTTACTCAGTTATTTATTTACTTAGTTAATTAGTTTTTTAGTCACTAGTTTAGATAATTAGTTGTTTATTTAATTTTCCCACTTATTAATTTATCAAGTGATTAATTTAGTCATTTATTTAGTTTATTATTTATTTATTTATTTACTTATTTTTTTATTTACTTATTATTTTCGAATTCTTTCAAGTTCATTTTCTTAGGTAAAATAATGCAAAATGTATTTTTATTTTCTACTATTATTGAATTAAAAAGTGATGTATCATGAACGTGGAATTTTTTTCCCCCTGAAGTGCAATACAGAAATATTTTTCAAAAAGAAAAAAAAAATGATTCTAATGTAACGTGTATTAAAATTGAATATACAGTTCACTTGATGTAAATATTTAACGCACTCGATCATTTTAAATTAGGAAAAATTTTCATGCAACATTTAATTGAATTATACTCTTTCCGATCAAAGAGAACTTTTCATTTGGTTTCAAACATTGGAAATTATTTCCATATTTGTGAATATTGTTACAATCGTATGGCAAATTTTTTGGTTAATTAATTTTTCTTTTTAGTTTTACAATAATTTTGCTCTCAATGGGAAGAGAATATGAAGCTCACTCAATAGAGTATACTATAAATATTACACGGGACAACATTTAAAAAAAATTATAAATTGAATCAAAAGAATATGTTGTTTTGAAAATTAAATAAAAGCAGAATCAATGGAAATGAAATTATTGGAAGTGAATTTAAAATAATGGATGACTAAAACTTTATTTACTACTGAACTGTCAAATATTACCAAACTTTTTCTGATACAAACAAATGTTATTTATTGATGAGAGCAAAATTTTTAACAGTTAGTTAAAATATATAAATTACTAAAATTCTTTTTACCACTGACACTAAAATTACAATTTTAGATATTTGTCTGACTATTAATGTCTTTAGCTACTTTTTCCTCACTTTTTAAAATAAAATTAGCAATTTTAAAAATAATAAAACGTAAAAATTTTTAATTCAAATTTATTTTCATAAAAATAAAATATGAATTGGAATAAAAATCAAAATCAAAATTTCAACTATCTTTATAAATAATCAAATTCTTCTTCAAAATTCAATTATTTTATAGAATAGAATTTAAAAACATTTTTTTTCCTTTATTTTTGAAAAACTTTGAATTTTATTAAAACTTTAATACAGTGTAATTAAAAAATAAAAACGTTTTAAATTGTGAATTCAAAACAGTAAACATTTTTACTATTTTAAATTTAGACAAAAAGTTTGTTATTCCATTGCTACTAAAGTTGTAATTCGAAAAATATGCCTGACTATAACAATTTTTACTACTTAAAATTCTTTTTACTAGCAATGAAAAAATTACAAACAAAATTAAAGTTTGATTAAAAAATCCTTTTACTACTGAAAATTTATTTACAAGCAAAATTAAAGTCTGACTAAAAATTCCTCTTACTACTGAAAATTTAATTACAAACAAAATTAAAGTCTGACTAAACATTCCTTTTACTACTGAAAATTTATTTACAAGCAAAATTAAAGTCTGACTAAAAATTCCTTTTAATACTGAAAATTTAATTACAAACAAAATTAAAGTCTGACTAAAATTTCCTTTTACTACTGAAAATTTAATTTATACATAAAAAAATGCAATATAAATTTGCCTTACTCTTTAAATTGGAATTCGTTGAAAAAATTTGTTAAAAATTAAGGTTTCAAATTAGTTGGGAAATAAATTTCACTAAAATTAATATTTCAGTTGTTAAGTTAAAATAAAATTTTTCTTTCTCAACTCTCTATCTCTCACACTCATCCCATAAAATAATCATATACACGAAAGATTACTGTTATTATTATTATTATTATTATTATCATTCTTTCCATGCGCGCACATTCGTAAAGTACATAGTTATCGTTTCAGTGAAACAAAAGTTTTTCCTTCCCCCTGCCTTCCCCCTCTATAAACGAAATAACCATAGAAAATAGAAGAGAAAATCTCTCTGTAAATTGGTTTAAATACGAGATAGAGGAGAAGTTGAAACGAGGATTTTCCTTCAAAAAGAAACTTGAGAAAGGAAACAAGAGATCTTTCTCTCTCTCTTGCTTTCTTTCTTCTTTCTTTCTCTCTCTCTCTTTTTCTTGCTTTCTTCTCTCTTTCTTTCTCTCTCTCTTTTTCTTGCTTTCTTCTCTCTTTCTTTCTTTCGTTTTCTTTTCTCTTTCTTTCATTCTCTCTCTGTCGCTTCTTATTCTCTTTCTTTCTCTCTCTCTTTTTCTTGCTTTCTTCTCTCTTTCTTTCTTTCGTTTTCTTTTCTCTTTTTTTCATTCTCTCTCTGTCGCTTCTTATTCTCTTTCTTTCTCTCTCTTCTTTTTCTTTCACTCTCTCTTTCTCTCTGTGTCGCTTCCTTTTCTCTTTCTTTCTTTCTCTCCCTTTTCTTTTTCTTTCACTCTCTTTTTCTCTCTGTCGCTTCCTTTTCTCTTTCTTTTTTTCTCTACCTTTTCTTTTTCTTTCACTCTCTCTTTCTCTCTGTCGCTTTCTTTTCTCTCCCTTTTCTCTTAAAATAAAGAAAGAGAAATAAGGAGAAGAGAGAGAGAGAGAGAGAGAGAGAGAGAGAGAGAGAGAAAATAAAAGGGAGACAGAAAAAATTAGCAAATGACAAGAAAACTACAAGCAAAGTGCGAATACGTCGATAAATGAGATTCTCTCTCTTTTCTTTTCATGCTCGGCATGAAAATGGATGTCGCTCTTGCAACATTGAGACGATGAACGCCGTGTTCCTCCCCCCTTCTCGTTTGCTACAGTAGGATGAGAGTGAGAGAGAGAGAGAGGGATGGGGATGGGGGGAGAGGCGAAGTGGAAAAAGAAGTTATTAATTTTTCGGGTCAGGAAATGTTGGGAATGGGGGAAAAGGTGGAAAACGCAGTAGTGGATAGAGTTGATGGAAACGCGGAAGATTGCAAAAGCCCGTGTGCGCGCCTAGGTGACTGGGGCGCGGGAGAGAAGGAGGAGAGAGAAAGAGAGACAGAGAGAGAGAGTTTTGTGGGGTTGTAGGTTGTACGCGAAAAGCGAGGTGCTGAGACTCTGCAAAGAGAATCTCACTCTATTTCTCTCTCTCTCTCTCTCGTCCTCTCACTGATTTTCTCTCTTCTTCTTTTTTGTTCTCTCTTACTCTCACTGATTTTCTCTATCTCCTTCTTTTTTTTCTCTCTTACTCTCAATGATTTTCTCCCTCTCCTTCACTTTTGCTCTCACTGATTTTCTTTATGCATTGTTTCTCCAAAAAGAGAGGAAGAGAGAGAGAGAGAAAAATGAGAGGGAGAAAGAGAGAGAGAGAGAGCGATAGAAAAAGAGGGAGAAAGATCTTCAGAAAATATGAGAGGGAAAGAGAAAGAAGAAGGGTCAGAAGAAGAGAAGGAAAAAGTGAGAGAAATAGAGAGGGAAAAGGAAAATGAAGTGAGAGGAGTAGAGAAGGAAAAAATGACGGAAAAGAGAAAGAAGAAGTGAGAATAAAAGAGAAGGAAAAAAGGAGAGAGAGAGAAAGAGAGAGAGAAAGAGTGTAATAAAAGAGAGGAGAAGTATGTGAGAAATAGAGAGAAAAGCATGTGAGGAAGAAAGAGAAAAAGAGAATGAACAAGTGAAAGAGAGAAACAGAAACTGAGAAAGAGCGTGAGTTTATAAGAGTAAAGAGAGGAACGCACGAAGAGAGGAAAAGAGAAAGACAAACAGATACACATAGAGTGATGGACGGGTTAGATGAGAAGGGCACAGCAAAGGGGACGAGATGGGGCAAAGAGGGAGGAAAAGAGGAGCGAAGGGAAACTAGGGACGCGAGGAAAGAGAGACAGAGAAAGAAAAAGAGAGAGAGATAGAGAGATTTTACCCGCGAAGTGATTCGTGACGCAGACTCGGACAATGTCGGTGTTTTTCGCGCATGTTCGGCCCCGCCTCTATGATGATTGGCCCCCTCAACCCACTAAACAAGAGTGGGAGAGGAGTTTGAAACCCGCGATCCGCGGCTCTCGTTGTGCTGGCGCTAGTTGTGTCAAGCTAGGCGATCGAGTAGGACGCTCTCTCAGTCGTTCCACCTCTCAAATTACACTTACCGCTCTCTGTCCTTTAAAAAAAAAAAAAATTATAAAAAATAAAATTTCAAAACAATCCCCCCCCCCAAAAAAAAACATTAAAAAAAAATTTCAAAAATAATTTTTACCCTCTCGCGATATTCAACAAGAGAAAACAAAAATTTAATTAAAGAAAGAGTAATTTTTAATTTCGGGAGTAGATAACAAAAAAAAAACACGCGGTACGCGTCTCTTACCAGAAAAAAAAGAAAAACCGGTCACGCGAGAGGACGAACCAAAGAAGAAAAGAATAAAACACAAGGAGACGTATATAAAGTAAAACAAAACAAAAAAAAAATCTCTTTCGAATCTGATCTTGTTTGGACCAAAAAACAATAGCTTTGTTTCCGCAAGCCGAACAACAAAAATCATCAAGAGAACAAGCTTTGCTTTTTCAACTCCAAAAGAGACGACCTTCTATAAATACATATATACACTCTCTCTTTCTCTCCTTCACCTGTGACGAGAGAAACAAAAAAAAAAAAGAACACCTATCATCATCATCGCCAAAAAAACGTCCTTCGGAACAAGAGTCCCTTTTTAAATCTCCCACCCCAACGAACGAAAAGAAAGTAAAAAAAAAGAAGAAGACGTGAAATATCCGACGCAACTCCCCCTTTAACCCTGTGCTCTAGCCCGGAAAAAAACAAAATTATTGCAATTTTGTTTTTCAACAAAAAAAAATAAAAAAAAAAAAAACTGTGTTATCCTTGTCCCCCTCGTCCTTCGCTTGAAACAATCCTGTCGAAGGGGGTCCTTCGGGGAAAAAAAGGGAGGTAATCCAGAAAAAACAAATCAAGCATCTCTCTCTAATGAAAAAAAAAATTTTTTTCACTCTCATTGTTGACAAGTCTGACTAAAGTTTATTTAGAAGATAAAAAAAAACCACGTGTAATATAAATTTTAACACTTTAGGATTTAAAGAATTTTTAAATGCAAATGAAAAAATTCAAGTGATCCAAGAGAATCGCGTCAAGACAATCAATCGTAGTGAGTTTGTACAGTAATAATTATTAAATTATTCAAATGCAATTTCAACCTATTTTCCGTGTTTAGTAGTAAATTTCGAATTTACCGAAAATATCGAGAATCAATCGAAACTATTTGGGTTTTAATCCAAACTATTGAGAATTAATCGAGTATTCGGATTTTATCGAGAAAGAATCGAAACTATCCATAATTTATCGAAACTATCGTGATTTACTCGAAAGTATCGAGACAGTATCAAGACAGTATCGAGAAACAAGATAAAATTAAATTTTAAAATTTGAATTAAAATTGAAATTTGAATCTAAATATCGAGATTGGAATCAAAATAAAAAAACACTTTTCAACACTTTTCATGTGATCTCGTATTTGCCGAAGCTCTCACCCCTATTTATACAATAATTACTAAAAATAAATAAATATAAATAATAAATTTAAGAAAAGATTATATATTACTGACATTTATATATTGTACGAGTACTTTAAAAAAAACATACACACAAACACTGATTCATACATATCCGCACACGCGCATATATTTGTTAACCGGCGGGCATTGAAACATATGTGCGCGCGCGTGACAAATCTCAAAGCTCTGTCTTTGCCTCGAAAAACCTCGTGACAATCATTTTCAGCTAGCGGCTCTTTTAGCACTTTGTACTTTCTTGCCGAGTGATCGAGTCTATATATAAAGTATATATATTTCTATATGTAACACCATACGCACCCTTTTTTTTAAAGAAAAAAAGGCTCTCCCCCTCCCCTTGAAAAAAAAATCCTAGCACAAAACTTGCACTCAAGTCTCTCTATTTAGCAAAAAAAAGAGTGAAAAAGAGAGAGAGAGAGAGACTTTTTACATTTCAATTCCAATATTTAATCCTACGTCGTTTCAATTAATACCAACTATTAAATAAAAATTTATAGTGAAAGAAGGTCAAAAATCCTTTCTTTAGTAATCTTGACTTTTTTCTTTTTTGAATCACACAAAAGGTGGTGTAGTTATTTTTAAGAGAGTGAGAGAGATACTTGCTTGTTCTCTGAATGAAAGATTTACATTTTCCCTCAAGGAAACGAAAATTTGATTTTTAAAAGGAAATATTATTATATAGAAAAAAAAGGGAAAAGAGCACAGAATAGGGAAAAGTTGTCGAGGACGTGATCAAAGAGAAAAAAAGGAGAGAAGAGGGAAAAGGTGAAAGTGTCAAGTATAATTTTTCACCGACAAGCTGTGGTGGTTTGGCGAGCAATTTTCAAATTTCGGCGGTCTGCAAATCTATTGGTCGCAAGGAGTTGCTGGAAATTTCACTCAAGGGAACTATAACGATAGTAATATCATTACCAACAATAGTAGCAATTGTTGTGTCAATAGTAACTGTACTAACAACTGTTGTATCAATAGTAACTCTACTAACAACTGTTGTGTCAAAAGCAACTGTACTAACAACTGTTGTATCAATAGTAACCGTAATAAAAACTGTTGTATCAATAGCAACTGTACTAACAATTGCGGTGTTAATAGCAGCTGGACTAGCAACGATTATATCAATAGGGACAGTAACTCCAAATGCATCATCAATAGCAGCAAATGGTGTATCAGTAGTGGCAGTAACTGTTGTGTAAATAGTAACAGCTACTGTAGTAACAACTACAATAGTAGTGACTACAATAGTTGTAACTACAATCGTAGCGAGTACAATATTGTCAACTACAATAGCAGCGTTTGCAACAGTAGCAACTACAGCAGCATCAACTATAGTAGCAGCAATTACAACAGCTACAACAGCTACAACAGTTACAACAGCAGCAGTAGCAGCTACAACAGCAGTAACTACAGCAGCAGTAACTATAGCAGCAGCTACAACAGCAGCTACAACAGCAGCAATTACAATAGCAACAGCAGTTACACTAATAGCAGCAGCTGCAACAACAGCAGCAACATCAGTGAAAGCAACAACAGAAGTAGTAATAGCGACAACAGAAGTAATAGCGACAACAGAAGCAATAGCGACAGTAGCAGCAGCAGCAACAAGAGTAACAGTAGCAAGAGCGACAACAGTAAAGACAAGAGGAGTTGCTGCGAGGCCAAGGGATACAACAAGTTTGTTGAGGAAAAGGGAAAGGATTGTTTGCGTGCAATCGACTCACGAGCCGAGGACAATAGATTGACCTCATCAGGCGCCACGACGTATTTTCACTCGTACTCCTTCGTGCCGGGAGGTGCGGTGCCCCTGCCACCACCTCTACATCATTCAGCGGCCGCTGCTGCAGCCGCCGCCGCTGCCGCTGCTGCATCGGGCAATACTGCGCCGGGTTTTGTCAGTCAATTACAACAGCAGGCCTGTAATTTGGCTTGCACTTGCACTTGCACTTGCACGGCAAGTATTGTAGCTGCCGCCGCAGCGACACAGCCTCGGCTCGACTATTTGCAACAACATCATCATCATCATTTGCAGCAGCATTTACAACATCATCGACCTCTCGGCACTGCCACGGTTCTTCTTCAACCAGTTGATCGCATCAAAAACGCAATGGTATGATGACACAGTTTTCTTATTTTCTCCTTTCTTTTTGCTCCATTTCTTCTTCTACTTCTTCTTCTTCTTCTACTTTTTCTTTTTCTTCTTTTTCTTCTTTTTCTTTTTCTTCTTCTTTTTCTTCTTCTTCTTCTTCTTCTTTTCTTCTTCTTCTTCTTCCACACTGAAGAAAAATTTGTTTGATTCAAATAACCGATTAATTGACTATTATCAATTAAATGTTTACTTGAATCAAATAAAATTTATTGGAGTCACACTGTAACTAAAAGGTTCTAAATAAGAGCCGATTTCCGGTATTAAAAATTAAAATAGAACCAAATAACGATTTAGTACCAAAAATTGGTATTAAATTAGTATCTTTCTTTTTACAGTGTCAATTAAATGGTATTTGAACCAATAATTTCAGTATTTGAAGCAAATTTGAACTGAACCATCTTTTTTTTTTTACTCAAATAAATATTATTTGATTCAATTAAATATTTAATTGATAATAGTCAATTAATCGGTTATTTGAACCAAATAAATTTTTTCTTCAGTGTACTTCTACAGGGTTTCTACAAGTCATAAAACACCTGGAAATCATGCAATTGTCATGGGATTTCATTTTGATTCATGGAAATCTTGTGGAATTTCTAATAGGATCGTGGAATTTTGTTTAGTTTTTGCTGTAAACCCTTCGCGCTTCTTTATTACTCAGGATGGTCACAAGTTTCACTCTCTAAATTTGAATTAGTTGAAAATAAAAAATTTGATAGCAAAAAGTCAGTCACTGATTCAAATAGTAATTTTACTAATGAAATAGTTGAAAATGACTAAATATTATTTGTTAAATTCACTTTTAGGTTATGTAAAAATCACTGAAACTTGTAATAACTAATAACTAATTCAATTAGTGAAATTTGAATATTTTTTTAGTTATTTATTTACTAATATAGTTTTACTAATTGCTGAACCATGACTTCTTAAAAAATTTTAAGAATTTTAATTTGAAATTTTCAACACTATTGTTTTCTCCCAAAATCCTAAAAATAATTCTAAAATGTTATTATTTTTGGAAATATGCCAATCGCTGGTATTTACAATTTTTGGGACTTTAAATAGCTGGCAGTGAAAATTGCTTATAGTAAAAATCGCTGATAGTAAAAAATAGTTGGTAGTTGAAATCGCTGACTGTTAAAATCTCTGATAGTTAAAATTGCTGCTAGTAAAAATTACTGGTAATTAAAATATCTGGTGGTTAAAATCACTACTGGTAGTTCAAATTGCTAATGGTTACAGTCACTGGTAGTCAAAATCGCTGGTAATTTTAATCATCAATGATTTTAATTACCGGTATCTTCAATCGCTGGTAAACACAATTTTTGGGACTTTAAATAGCTGGTAGTTAAAATTACTGATAGTAAAAATAGCTGATAGTAAAAATAGCTGATAGTAAAAATAGCTGATAGTAAAAATAGCTGATAGTAAAAAATAGCTGATAGTAAAAATAGCTGGTAGTAAAAATAGCTGGTAATTAAAATATCTTGTGGTTAAAATCGCTGGTAGTTAAAAACGTTGACAGTTAAAATCGCTGATAGTCAAAATTGCTGGTTGTTAAAATCTCTAGTGGTTAAAATCCCTGATCGTTTAAAACTCTAAGGTACTTAAAATTGCTTGTAGTTAAAATCAGTGGTAACAGTTAAAATTGCTGGTGGTTATAACATCTGAAGATTAAAATCACTGATAGAGTAATTGTTGGCAGTAAAAATTACTGGCAAATAAAATCGTTTGTAATTCAAATCTTTGATTTTTGAAATTGCTGATAGTTTAAATATTCAGCACCTAAAATTGCTGATAGATAAAAAAATTATCAATTAAAATTGCTAATAGTTAAAATAATTAGCAATTAAATTTAAAATCGCTGATAGGTAAAATCATTGGTTATTAAAAATTTAAAATTGTTGATAGTTAATTGCTGGTAGTAAAAATCTCTAATATTGTCAAAAGCACAAATCAGAGTTTTTCTAAGGATATTAAATTGAGACAAAAAACGAATTAGAAGTGTTTCGAAGCAACATTTTGATTCGTTCTTTTGTCTCAATTTGATATCTGCAGAAAAACTCTGATTAGAGAAAATCGTTGGTAGTTAGGGTCATTGATAGTTATAATTTATGGTTGATCTAATCATTGTAATTTACAATGAATGGTAGTTGTAAAAAGAATTTCTTTCCTCTAATAATAATTATAAAAAATTAATTACGATTTACCTACTTTCCCAACGAATATTTATAAATTCTCATAAAAACTTTCATCCTAAAAAATCGAACATATTTCGTGATGGGAGAAAATAATTTAAGCAAATGAATCCTCAATTTCGTTGATATAAAATATTTGCATTGCATAATCAAGTAGTTTGTGGATTTCGGTAAATATTGTTTATTTTATCGAATGTATTTTCCATATATATATATATATATATATATATATATATATATATATATATATATATATATATATATTCGAAATTAATAATCGAAAGATTAATTACTAAATATTGTAATTTAGTAATAAATATGTATATTAATTTCATTTATTAAAACAGTAATGTGGATTTATAATGTAATTTAATGTTTTTTGGCATTTATGGTATTATTACTTTTTCCCTTTGGAAGTTAAACGTTAAACAGAATTATCAATTTTATTTACAACGTCGCTTAAGTTTAGAATAAAGGGTATATTATATTATTATTACTATTATTATTATTATTACTGTTATTATTAACATTACTTTGTGCTGGGAAAATACAAAGCAGCATTTCTGGTGTTTACAAAATGTGCCGGGGGCAATCCATCATGAAAGTACGGTACAAACATAACTCGTTATTTATTTAATAATTCTTGAAAATTAGATACTTTTCTCCCAAAACACTCAAAGGGAATTAACATATAATTTTCGTCTTTGTATTTTGTGTTATTAAAATTAAATATCTTAATTCTTTTATCAGATTTGTTTTATTTAGTTAGCAATTAGAAATGATAATTAGTTTCCCTTATTTTTAAAACTATAAGAGAAAATTAATTGTCTTTTTCTTTTAAATAAAAATTTTTTAGTTTCAAATCTTATTTTTTTTTCTTCTTCTTCTCGATAACATTTTTGATAGAAATTATTTATTATTTTCAAAAAATAAAATTTTTTTTCTAGCTTTTTTGTTTACATTTTGTTGCTTTTTTTATTTCTGTTTATTTTATCCAACTTCCATATATAAAATTAACGGATATTTTTTGTTTGTGAAAATTTTTTAACTTGATAAAAATTTACTTTCAACTTTATTGAAAATAGTCTTCCCTCTCTCTCTCTCTTTCCAATTTATCACAATCCTTCTACATTCGAAGATAAGAAGAAAAACTCCCTTTATTCTCTAATGTAAAAATCTAGCAAGTTATGTTTCCCACAGGACTTTAAGTATTCTTAAAGAAAAGTTTGGTATTTGTCAATGTGTCACCATATCCGCGAAACTCTTGATTTACAGAAATTTCACATCAGCTTCAAATTTTATTTTTACTTTTTCGTTTTTATTCTCTTCAATTTCTACATACCCTCAGGAAAGAAATCTTTGTTTTTCATACATTCAAATGTTAAATATTATTTTTAGTGACTTTAAAATGATTTTAATTCTTTCCGTTTATTTTTAGAATCGCAATTGGTTTTTATTATAACATTATCATTACTTTATAGAAGATTAGATTCTATTTAATTTGTTAAAATTAACTGCAAATAAATATATTAATATTATTATTATAATTATCATTATTGAATGGTAGTTATAGATTACAGCAATTATATTTTATGGTAGTTACAATTGTTGCTGGTACTTTTATCGATGGTATTTACCATGTTCGATAGTTAAGATTGCTTGTAAATTTAACTACCAACAGTTCAGATTGCTGGTAATTTTAATTACTAGTAGTTAAGATTGCTGGTAATTAAAATTATTAGTAGTTAAAATTGCTAGTAATTTTAATCACTAGTAGTTAAAATTGCTGGTAATATTAATTACTAGTAATTAAAATTGTTGGTACTTAGAATCGCTGGTAGTTAAAATCTCTAGTAGTTAAAATCGCTGGTAGTTATAATTGCTGGTAGTTAAAATCTCTGGTGGTTAAAATCTCTGGTGGTTAAAATCGTCGATAGTTAAAATTGCTAGTAGTTAAAATCGCTGATGGAGAAAATCGCTGATATGTAAAATTGTTAGTAGTTTCAATCGCTGGTAATTAAAATCGCTGATAATTACATAATCGCTAATAGTTAATCGCTAATAGTAATCGTTGGTAGTTAAAAATAATTATTAGTCACAATCGCAGAAAGTTAAACTCGCTAGTTTTCATAATTCTCATTAGTTAAAATCGCTGATTAAAAATCTTTCATCTTTCTTTTCTTTATGAAAACTTTAAAAAATATTCAATAGTGAAACTACGTTCATGTCTTGAATAAAAATATTTAGCATATTTTTGAATAGTTTAAAAATAAACATTTGAGATATTTCTCTCTCTCTCTCTCTCAAAAAAAAAAGAAAAAATTGTTCCTCTTTTTATATTTGTCGACAATAATACGGAAATCCCATTTGACCCCGACAGTCTTTGAATCTCTTATTTACAATCTTGATAAACCGGGTCATCGAGATCATATATATACATATACTTTTAACAGTGAACGACTGTCCATCTACTTCTTTTTCATACTCTTGTTTCCGTTTTTTTCTCTCTTTTTTCCTTTTTTTGTTCCCCTGGAGAGCCTATTAAATCGTTGAAGGAATATTATATATCGTTTTATCAACATCCCATAAAGAATTTATATATACGTGAAAAAATAACCAATCCACAAAAGCATCGCTGCATTTTGTGAACTCAATTATTGATCATCGCCCATTCTATTTGAAAAAAATAAAACTTTAAGCAAAAGTGTTTAAGGTTTTTTTTTTTATTTTTAGTTTCGTACATGATCCATCGAGATTTTTTTT